AATAACACAATATAAAATCGATTAAAACTTACACAGGCTCACCAAACTCACATGATTTGTGAAAAAGGCTCTTGATTTCCCCTATTGTTGAGTGAGGCTCCACCTGAATACAATAGAAACATGAAGAACCTTGATTCATTTTCAGTGAAGCAGTTGATGGTGTGTGTTAAAACCAATTCAAATTTGCTATCATTACAATAAGTGTGCACTTCATGCTGTGCACCCAAATATTGTTTAAACCCATTAAACTTAATTTCAAATTCCAGAGGAATATAAAAGGTATCATAAAATGCTGCACAATGCTGTCCTTCCTATGTAATTGTGCCACTAGAAAACACAGAACATGCTAAACATAATGTTAATAAGGCCTCAGAGTTTTCAGCATACCTTATCTAAAAAACAAAGCTGTTCTCTTGTCTTGGCATCCAGGACCTCCACCTGAAGAAACACAACATGTCACATTTAGAAAGAATCTGGACCAAATCTGGACCTAATCAGATATTGATTAGTAGATATCAAATCCCAACACCATTGGAGAAAATATGAATAACTCACCTGGAAATGTGTTTTTGCAGCAAACACTTCTCTGACAAAATGTTTTGAAAAATATATGATTATTCAGTTTTTAAAGTCTAACCCCTTTCCCAGAGTGATGGCATACATAAATAAATAAATAAAACAATCTACAGATAATGATAAAACACAGCTGACATTTTCTTCAATTCTCTGTTGTCTCCAGTACAATAACCTCATTCTCAATCTGGCTGGTTGATAAAGAAACAGGAACCATGTTGTCCTGCAGCCATCTTGCACACATCTTTTTCATCTTAATTAGACTGTGTCAATAGTGATGTACAGCGTATGCACAGAGGATGGTGGGCGGCGGCCCACAATTTGCCCTGAAAGCCCTCCACACTGTGCTGCTCAGCAGAGCTGTCCCAGCTAAATTGGCTCCCTTATTGGACAGTGTAATAACCTGCTAATGGATACCTAAAGATTTGCTGAGTGCACTGCTGAGAGAGTGTGAGAGAGAGAGAGGGAGATAGAGAGAGCTATACACACATAACATCAGCTGTTTGCACTGCAGAAAATACGCATTTGTCATTTAATTTTTGTCCACACTTTGTTCTTTCTTAATTTGTGTTTGTAGCACCTTCATTATCATTATCCTCTACACAATCAAACAAATCATTAGCATTCCTTTTTTTTTTTAAAAACATTTTTCCCCCTGAATGTATTACTATGGAATCCAGAAATGTCCCACTTCTAGATTTAAAATATGACAATTTAATCTTGTCACTCTCTGCAGTTTGTGTTCATGCTTCGATCAGAGGGCATCCAGGGAGATGCGTTTGTTTTGCTCTCCATCTGCTAACCTTCCCAGCTGCATTCTCAGGGCACATGTTGTTTTAGCAAGGAGCATCAAGGGTGTCATTACGGCTCCGTGTTGTGAAGCCCTGTGCACTCAGTTGTGCTGCGCCCTTGTAAATGTGATTATCAGGTGCCCCTGCCCTCTCGTGGGTACATGGAGCCCTGCTGACAACACAGGTCATACAGAGCATGTACAGAGTGTGCTTGGGAGGGCTTTGTGAATGTGAAGGGAATTATATAGTGTATTTTTCAAACATACACTTTCAATTCTTTGTATGCAGGGTGTATTTTTTTATATAATTAAGAGGCATGGCCATAGCAGCTCCTCTTTAATGTGGTCACTGACAAGTGTAATGGCTGATCTTGAACCACAGACTCAATACTTTAAACTTTGAGCATAATTCCATTGAAGCTTATTAACTGCATACGACTGGCCACTGTTTACCATCGTCCCCTTTGCTTTCACACTCGCTCACACTGGACAGAATTTCTCTTTCAATCAGGGAAAGTAATCAACTAAGCACTCAGCTGTCTCTCTGCACGCTGCCAATTGACAGCTGGCCCTAAATTTTCCACAAGCATCTGTTGCAGCACAAAAAAAACTGTACCCTCAGCGATTGTATTGCTCACAAATGGTCTTAACCTTGGTTTCTATCAGTGTCACTTTCACTGGGCTATACAAGTGTGTTGCATTATAGATAGATATTTTACCAATTATCTTCACTAAGTTTACAATCACTAGAATGGTGTAAACGTTCTCATCTAACTCTCAGCAAGCAAATGACAAAGGGTATTTCACAAAATGTAAATCTAATATTTTAAGGTTAATTGACAAAACCAATGGAAAAACCTTAACTACTTTCAAAATAAAATACATTTCTTTAGAAATAGGATGTAACTTGCCAATGAGACCATTGGCTTTCTCAGGAACCATGGATCTAACTAACACCGGACATTTCCTGTTGTCCTGTGGGTCATGGTGCAATGATCAGGAACAAGCAGGAAGTAGAATCCACACATCAGGTGCACATGCCAAAAATAACTTTGTCACATCTCTCAGTGATACACATAGCTACCATCCTGCTTCTCAATCCCTCTTAATAACATTTTTGTTCAGAAGACAAGTTGTACTGGTCAAAAGACGAGGAAAGGTGGAGCCACAGAATGAAAAAGAGAAAGGTGTCTGATACAGATGCAGCTAAATGCTGCAAAATCAGACACTTTATTCACCGGATAAGTCAAAAACACTAAACTGACTAAACTGTCGTTTCTGTGCAGGTTCAGTTATTGTATGCCTGAAACATTTTGATATTCATTGCTGTGTTTTTGTGTATGTGCTGTGATAGGCATTTTTCCAATACATTTTTTGAGGGTTCAACAGTCATTACAAACTACTTTAGAAACTAAATTTTTGGATGGTTATGTTAAACCACCATAAATTAAATTGGTCTTCTACATCAACAAAGTTAGCAGCCTGCTGGTTTCTGTGAACAGAACTAATTGATTGTTTCAATCTGAACCTACATACTTACCACAGGCCTGCTACACTTACAGAGAATTACCTCAGTGCTCAATGGGCCCTGACAGACAGGAAGTAAGTGTCAGATCATGAAAGGAGCTCTGGCTGAATTTTATTTACCTAAAAAATAACTTCTGTATCAGCCAGAAATGATTTTGTCTCTTTAACTCATCATTAGGTTAGTTTAACTAACTTAAGCTCTTGAAGTATCCGTCCATGTGTTTGGTGCTTGACAGATATTCACTTACAAACTTGACCAAAAGTTCATCCTGCTTGTTGTACATAAAAGATGCTCCAACTTTTACAATTGAGTGTTTATGCAAAGAATACAAGTTTCTGCAGAATGTTTCAGAGAATCAAAATAATTGAAAAATGAGGAGGAATAATCAACTTATTGTTGATTTCCCTATTTCTGCTTGATCTTTACTAAATATTATTTTAATGAGTGTCTTGCACAAGTGGACCTTGTGAAACAAAGTATACTATCACATCAATCTATCAGAACTGTCAGTTGACCTTTTCATTCTGCCGCCTAAATACAGTGGACTTACCTCAAAGAAGGTGGTCCGGCTCATGGCTGTGGGTGGCTTATTATTATTATTATATCCTCTGTGTGCACGATGACAAAGATTACATTCAAAATCAGTGCAAACAAACACAACACACACTCACAAACACACACACAATCATTCCTCACAGCACATAGTTCCTCTCCTTTCCTGGACAATCCCTGCACTGACCCCTTAATCTTCCCTGCCTCCTTTTCTCCTTCACTCTCTCTCTCTCTCACTCTCTCTCTCCCTCAAACACACATGCACACACACACACACACACACACACACACACACACACACACACACTTTCTCACTCTCTTGCTCTCTGTCTTCATCTGAGATAGTGCTGGGACACAGAATCACCAGAGGCACTCCAGAAACCATGCACATGCTCTCCCTCCTGCTTCTCTTCTTCCCTCCTATCTCCTTCATGTTTGTTGAGGTATCTTTGGTGGAGTCCACCTGAGAGTGAAACATCTGAAAAACAGATGAACACAGGAGAATATGGGGGATGATAAAATATACAAAATGACACAGAACTTGGAAACCCTCTGTGGAGAAAGTGGACCAGCAAAGGTGCTCCCAGTAATAGGAACAGCAGAGGACGAAAATAATACAAACTGAAAATAAAATAAAAAGTGCTGAGACAACAAGCAGCAAAATGACATTCACTCTTGAAAAGTACTAAAAATACAGATACCCTTAACATGTAACAAAACACCTCTCTAAGGGATGTGTTTCACCAAATGCCAGCAGGAAAGTTTATGACTCTGACCAACTCCGTCTTCAGCTGTGGTTCTTAGTTGTGTCAGCAGAAGATGAACCCACCAAGGCTGGGCTGAGCACCAAAATATCTTAGGGGACAAAGTGTACTTCATTGATAAAGGTTAAACATACAGTTTACTTGAAGGTGACTGTTTTTAAGGGACAGTATTTAGTTACGAAGAAGGGGGTAAAAAATTCAGTGTGAAGTGATTCTCTCAGAGATGAACCCGTCAACCTTATAGCTTGTGTCCTTTCTTTAGTTCTTTGAATACACTCCCTCGAGCACAACTATAGATTTCTAAAGCTCCTACTTCAGGGTTTTCTTATCATTTAAAACTCACCTCATATACTTTCTAGTGATATCCCATGGATTGATTTTATTTCTGTGCCCATGAACTGTCTTGTTTTTTAAGCAGCTTTGACAGAATATTGATGATGTTTGAGGATAGCAGCTTATTATATATTCTGCTTCAGCCTATACTGTAGTTTTTAGTTTTTAACTCATACTGGATGACAGAAAAGGTGAGAATTGTTGTCTACAGCTGATCATGAACGATGACTACAACAAGACTTGATATACAATATACAATACTCACATACTCTACCATAATTGGCAATAACTCCCCCATTTCAAATGTCATTGTTGCTCCCTTCATTTTTAGGGTTAAGACACACCTTGTTCAGCCCTGTGAGACACATTGTGATTTATGAATATGGGCTGTACAAATAAAATGTGATTGATTAGATCTGAGTCACCACAAATATATTTATCTGTGGCCAACAGTTTTGGTCAGATATGTTTTGTGTTCTTTACACCTGCATTTTCTCTCTAGTCCTGCAAATGTTTTCTGTCTTTCTTGGCTCGTCATGCTCATAATGAAAATCAAACAGGAGGCTCCCAGATACAGAAGTGGGCCAGATCCTGAACACCTCAGGCAAATGTGAACCAGGCCAAATTTAGTGGAGGATGAGACAGAGAGACAGAAATGATAAAAATCTATAAAACTAATCTATAAAAATTTGAAAAAGTGGAATTTTGCTTTTAAATAAAGGACTGTGGAATGAATGACAATGTTAGCTAGTATATTGACTCCTTGGTTTCTAAATTGGTGGAGCTGTATTTTAAGCATTACCAGACAAGTTACCTTATCTGGAAACCATACAACCAGATTACCACCAAAGTCGCTGTGGGAATTCATATTCTAACAAAGACTTAACCATAACCTTTCCTCTTACGTCACCATCAAGCCAAAATTGTATTGAAGAAATAGAACATTTTGTTAGACTTTCATTACTGTCATGTCACAGTGCTTCTTTTTAGATATCCCATGAGGATGCATTGTATGGCTGCAAGAAATACACAGGTCTGACTCATGCACAGAACAAATGCAGAAGAGTGACAATTATATTTGTAATGGAGATAGGTAGGTATTCTCTTTAGTGTATATTGAATTATTTTTTAATTAATCATTTACTCAATATTAGATCAGTCATGAGTCATTAAGAAGAACAATCTCTTGGTGCCAGCTGTTCCCTTTGTATTTGGTACTAATACAATTATAGATGTTGGATACCCATTCATAACAGCTCATGAGTTTCACACTTTCGTCTCAGCTATTTGGGTCAGTTACAAAAGTTTAATTGATCAAGTTGTTATGTATAAATTATAGGCAAACTCTTTCTCAAGCATTACTGCTATAGTTAGAATGTATAACTGTAGTTTTAAATGGTGTCTTATTGTGTATGAGTGATGTGAGTTGGTCATAGAGCAACTGGTGATCTAAAGTTATCAACTGTTCAGTCATCCATAAGGGATGAAACTGTCCTTTGCTGGACATCATGGCCAGACCCTTTAGGTGAGATTAGTGCTGATTATTGTCGACTGTTTTATATATGTTTCTATACTGTGCTGACTTTACACCAGAATGCAAAGCTGCGGCCTAAGAATTGATTCTATGGTTCTTTCAAACACAAAATCATCTTTTACACCGTTCAGCTCTGGGAGGAAACATATTTAGATTTTCCTTGCAAACATGAAGCACTGCAAAAAATATATCTGATTTTCAATGTGATGTTACACCATTAAAAAACATAAGAAAAAAATGGGTGGAGAGTGCTCGCAGATTTTCTTTAATCTGTCCCGACATGCTCAGGTTTTTTTTGGTTGCTGTCTTATTGAACCTAATAAACTCCAGTGGCTTTTCTTTAAGTGCTTTTCTGACTCCAGGGAACTTGGACACAGTGTTGGAGCAAGACCCAGGCTTTTTCTGGCCCAGCCCTGGATCATTCTGACCCTCTAAGTACCCAAGATTGGGCCATTCCATTTGTTTGGTCTATATTTATTTCTAAACAAAGATTATCTTGAGTTACGGTGAAAAGATCTTTGGAACTCAACCACAATGTTGTTGCATTGAAGCTGTTCTTGGCATTTGCCTTCAATGATCAAAAGTCAGTCTGTTGCCTGCTGGTTATATAGAAGGCCAATCACTGACTTCTCCATCACCTTTTAACCTCTGAGGGTGCCAGCTCATTGTAGTTTGGGGGCTTTTATTTTATTTACTTGTATTTGCTACAAACTGCAGTCTGGTGTGAACATGTGGAGTTTAGATGGAAAGGGACTGGAGGTTGTAGCTAAATCCAATTGCCACACTGCAGGGTGAAGGCGTGTCACAGTGGTTGGCAGAAAGTGTCCTACTTTGTGACGATTGTATTGAGGTGGTGGAGACATTGTTGTGATGCTTGAGAAAAATGCACTGTGGGCGAGACACATGTACAATGATGTTTATGAAAGTGTGGGTAGCCTAAAGTGTTTTTCATTTGGAAGTCATTTACATCTACAAAGGAAACAACAAGGACTGACTAATTATTATTAAATTATTTGGAAAGAAAGGAAACCTTAATTTGAAAGGGCCTCCCAAAGGTTGTTAATGTAACATTTAAGCCCTTATCTTGTCTGGGTCCTGCTTTCAGACATGCAGACTTTCAGAGTCAAGGAGTGAATGGCTGTTGATACCTAAGTTGCAGACCCACCCTACTGTTGTGAGTCATTTGGTCACTGGAGTTGGGGTGTGTCTCTTGTAGTAGTCTGGGGAAAGAACAGCATTGTTGGTGGCTGAGATCCACAAACCTTCCAAACCACCTCCTCTGTTATGCACGCAGACAGGCAGGCAGACACACACACACACACACACACACACACACACACACACACACACACACACACAGGTAACAATACTCTGCTTGTGGGCCTCCTGAAGGGCTATGAACAAGAATACAAACAATCCTGGCAGTAATATGCCTGATGTAAAACAGTCTGCTTTGCATTAAAATGTACCATTAGAGTCTTACAGTTACATTCCTGTACCAACCTTGTTATACTCTGAAGTGCACCTGCTCCAAATTCCAGTCTATTAAGTAATATATATCGGCTATATAGGCTAATATGGTCTGCAGCACATTATCTAATTGGATGCTCCACCAGTCCAATTGTTGTATCTCCAGTAGGGGGAGATAGTGACCTGGCACTGGGGATCCAGGTATCCTGCAGAATATGTTACTGGACAAGGGATAAGACAAGGGATCTCTTACATTCTTAAACTGCTTTTTTCATGTTTCTCCATTTGATCAGCTTTCACAGAGTCGGCGTTGTCTTCAGGTCTATAGCTCATGAAGGAGACTAGTGAACTGATACCTAGCTATCTGCTGTGGGTGGAAGTGAATTAGATCTGATTTAAATAATGTGAAGGAAGGTGCTGTTTTGCTTAAGGATAATTAATGACAGTGGTGGATCTAGGATTTTTCTAAATCAGGTGATTCAGTAAGGTGCACAATCAAGTAATTCTTATTCGGCTCTAACTTTAAGTGAAGCCACACCTTACTGAATATATTTTGAAAATTGTTCCTTGTTCAAGCATATCATGTACAAAAAAAACCCAGATTTAAGCTGGGGCCAGTGCCCCCTAGCCCTGCTCCTGGATCCTCCCCAGATTTATGAATGAGTTTGGGACATATGAGTTGTTGCTTCCTATGAATAACAGTTTAACATGGATTATGGGTTTGACTCTATTAACACATGGAAGAAATTTCAATCAAAAATGTTATCAAATGTAAATAGAAGTATTATAAATGTTTCCCTTATTTGTTCCACAGGATAGTGTAATAATTCTACTTGGAATTTTCCTCAGATACTTCCTTATCAGTGAAGAACCAATTAATTGAGGGGAAAACAGCCCTTCCAAGGTAACAACAACCTTTCACTTAAATTTTGAGAAAATATCTCTGAAATGACCTTAATCAAAATCCATTAGTGGGGATGAAAAATAGCTGACTCAAGATATTCAAGTAACTCATTCCCAAGCATTCAATGTCAGATGGATTGATTTTTGCTCTTGCTGCAG